AGATTCAATTATTTCTTACACGGATGAGACACTTTAAAGCAATTACGTGCAAGAGTGCTTCATATGTAGTTTCATGTGAGTTAACAAACGAGAACCGCAAGCACAATTTCGTATGTTGTTACACGTATGATATACGTTTGAGAAATTCGCGTCCACGAGAATCACATCCATCACATCGAAGCTTTGGCAGTGTCCACATAGGCACGATAAGATAATGCTTGCAAACCAATCGAATTTGTGGTACCTGTAACATGGCATTTCATTTTCACACCAACTTAGCTGCTGGTGAGATACGACTGGTTCTAAGACTCGACTGATTACTCACGTGGATGCAAGTCACGTCTGATATGTTTGATAGAGGATCGGCCAACTGTTATCATTGCTGATATCGTCAGAAAAAAAGGAGGTGGTGCATTCGTTTGCGAACGACGACGAGACAGCCATCTTATAATGACTGAATTTCTTTTCTTGGCTGTTGATGCAGCTAGGCATTCGGCTGTTGATCATGGCTCTCTGTAGATCGAAAGTGCGATTTGTTCCCGAGAAAACTGCCATTTGATAAATTTACTCAAGAGGACATTCCTATTCTCGTGAGCATGATTTTATGCTTCCTGGTAAATTGCTAGAGTTAGCAGTGTGAAGTAGTGGCGATAAATTGATTCATTTGTAAATTGAAACGAAATACATGGGACAATAAATAAGATATGAGAGGCCTGCAACCTAAACCCAATAGTGAGCACTCACACTCGTTCATTTATTGTTTAAATCTCTGACATTACTATGTTCAGTCTAAGTAGTTGAATTTGTGTGAGTACATTTTACTTTGGTAGATAAAGGTTGTTGTGGGCCCCAGCATGTGGTCTTGAACCACGTCGGGGCCACGGAATTAACCTGGCCCGATTTCGCTTGCCTGATGCCCGCGATAAAGAAAAAGACCGGAGAGGGTGGGAGCAATCGTTTACTTGAGAACTCAACCAAAACTGGTGTCGTTGTGTCGAGTGTGGGGTTTGAGCGTGTGTATTTATAGCTCGGGTGTGTGAGTCATAACTGCGCTAACATCGAGGCCTAGGCGTGAGGATAATCCAAGATAGATATTCGTGTGAATGAAGGGGAATTGAGGATTTGCGTGGCTGGCTCCATGCTGTGAAAAAGGGGAACCCTGTGTCGGAGGCGGAGCTACCGAATTAAGGGGTTGAATAAACACGATTCACAGCAAGGTAAGTGAGATCCACCATCTTTGTGTTTCCAGCCGAGCTGTGGGTCGGTTAGGGAAAAACTGACTTTGTCAATTAACCAGTGGCGTCATTAATTATCTCAGTTCTTTAATAGACGCTAGCTGGTCACGCTCATCTTTCAGTCAAGGTTAAGGTTTTATGAATAGCCCCTTCACCAGGTGACAGAAATCCCTGTCTAATTTAGATAATGTCTAATGAATATCGATTACGCTTAAGTACGTTCCTGATTTCCCCTCTCACTCTTTGTTACATGTCTGGAAACATAACTGAGGTCATATCCTTGTCCATATCTCATTTAACTTCCGGCAACAGACCTCACATTAACTACAGCCCACCACACGTAGTCTAGAAATGTGCAAAGGCGATTTTATAGTCAACTACATGCTGACTCAACAGTTCAAACTGCTTTAGGTCTGTAAGATGCAAACGTTACAAGCGAGTCGATAATGTATGTGGCATCATCTGTTGACAACCCTGCGACAACATGCGAATATATTTCTAGAACTGAGGGGTCATATTCGAACTGCGAAAATGATCTTCAAGTTACAAAAACCATACTAATGAGTTGATACCATACAGAAAAAAGAACGTCCACTGAAATGTTGTTTTACAAACAGATGTGTGCAGCCATCGGTTCAGTACTTGTTACTATAAGAGACTGATGGGCACGCCGTGAAGAGTGGTTATTGGACGTGAATCAACACGACTCACTACACTAGCCAAGTGGCGTTAGTTTGCTCCAGTGTGGACTGCTACTTCATTTGATGGATTGCGCCAAGTCCGTTCATTCACGCTAAAATTGTTATCTTAGGCGTGCACTTGCTTAAAAACCTGACGATAACATCTTCCGACCAGTCAGTTGGTCTGTCACTCAATTTCGAACTCAAGGTGAATGAAGCAAGTTTGTGTTTGGTGCTGTTATCGAGTCTGAAAAACTAATCATTCACACACAAGTGATTCCGTAGAAAATAAGCTTTCTGTGTACATTGAACTCGACACCTTACACTGTTTCAAACAACGTCACCCTGATTTGATCACATTTTCCAACAACGTGACATTATAAGCTCACCATGTGAATTGCTGTGTGTTTTATTATGCATTATGAAAGAGAATTCGCCCTCCCAACAGCAAGGAACCAAAAGAATCCAGTCTGACAATGGGAAAGTAGGACCTTCATCACTTTTTGGTTTTTTTATGCGAAAAAACATTCATTTTGTAAAGCAAGAACATGCAAAACTGCTCTCCTTCACAGACATACAACTCTAGTTCTAAGAAAATGAACTTCTGACAGTGCCACATTGAGTTAGTATTGTAACATTTGCAAAACAGGTGTAGGCTCAAATAACTTCAAAGGTTATTTAAGCTCTTGTTTCCTTCGTCAATAGTAGCGGAGTATGTGGTCTTTTCTGATCATTTTTGCCTAGTAACCGGATCGTTAGTACATGCCACAAAATGACTTGGGCAGCCAATGGTGGTTGGCAGAACAGCTCGTTTTGTCCTTGCAGAATAAGATCAGAGAAGTTGCCATGTCTAGAGGCTAAATTGTTGCTTAGGCAGATGAATCTACAGGTCCATCATTTCTCTTTGTTTTACAAATGATTCCAAATCGAGCGAACTGACTCATGCAATAAAGCGTGCGTCTGCACCTGCAAACGGTTTTAGCATTCTGCACATTACTTCCTTTAATAGCAGTTTAAATTCGACATTCGCTAGACCACCACGCACACTAGTCCACCGACATTAAACTTTATTAACCATTTCCGTCATAATACGCCTGAATGGCTTGGGAATTAATAATTTAATTGCTTTGACTAGGAAGGTGAAAAGTGTGGTATTTTTAACCAGTCACATGTGCCAAGGCCGCGATATCCTCGTGCATTGACAAAATGTGCAGGGCACCACAATTGATATCACAAGCTTTCGTCTAGGTCGAGAGAAGCACATGTCGCGATTGCTCTCTTGGAAACCTTGCAGAGCTCCGAAAAGGTTGATCTTGTGTGGGTGCGTGTGTATTTGTCTGATTTATAGATGTGATTATTTCAATGATTACTAAGAATTTTGACACTTACTGTGATGTACCACACAGCAATGTACACTGATTAGAATGAATTCTGCAAGGTTTTCATGCAGTATCACTGAACGTCCTGATGAGATGGTCTTCACAATAGCCACAAGACTCACAATTAAGATTAGTGCCATGAGCAGTAGAACAACACAGATCCGTTATGCAAATACACACGACGGTAGAGCACACTTTTGAAAGACAACTGGCGTGCTCAGTGTTCCATCGAGTAAGTGCAGTTGGCAGTCACTTGTATTTGGACGTGTCAAAAATATGAAATAGGACCAGTTGTGCGAAATGATGCGACAGCTAAATTCATCAGGATCATTGGCAATCGCACCGATGTCACTGTCGTTTTTTGTGTAGTTAGCTTAGATTATTCTCAAGCACATTACATGTTACTAAAAACATCCGATGTAGGCATAAAATCAAGCTCCTGGGCGCAAGCAAGCCTTAACAAGTTCCGTAGTTCTTAGCTCCTATTTCGTGTACATGAAAGCAAGTACCTAAATGAGTGAGTGAAAGATGAAGGTGGTTCAATGCGCCAATACACTCAGGAGCATTTCGTTCTCGGATTTGCTCCAAGCATGACCAGAGGTCACAGGCCATTTACGGAAAGACAGCTTCATCCGCACTTACACCACGCCCACGAATGCATTCACCAGTCATCGTTCTATGCATTGACATCTTTTCCCACGTTATGTTGTCTCTCACCAACGCTGACAAATGACGCCGTAAACAAACGTGTTCCAACTAAAAAAGTAGGTAATTTCGGTGTTATGCACGTTTTACACTTCGTCGCAAAACTGGATTTCTGGAGAACCGCCCAGCATCTTTGAGCATTTCTGCTCATATTTTCATGAAACAACTGAAGTGGAATGAGTGTACGATGACAGGACAGTAGAAATGCATTACTTATGGTCGACATGCAAATGTGGAGATTGCCTGTTGGTGTGCTTTGTAGTGGTAGGTTTCTTTCTTTGAATTAGTTTACTAAGAACCAGATGTAAACTTGTCTGCTTACGCTTATTGAGAACTAGATACACTTGCAGACGGGATCCTCTCAAAGACGCGGTCAGCGTTTAACAAGCTAAAGCATTGACAGTGTTGATGTGTGTATTTGCGACTCGAGCGTGATACTGGCTTGCTGTATTTAGTTTTGTTGCAATAAGAGAGTAGAAATGCAGCTTGATTTGCAAGAACAGCGTACCCACGAAGCACGAAATGGGGTGTTAGACGAGGGTATTTCATGCGCCACACTTGAGTAGCAAATGATGTTGAGGTGTTATTGAAATAAATTCTGGTTCACGAGGTACCTTCTCCTTCAGAGCACATAGCCAAAACTACCAATGACATGTCTACTATGAGTTTAGCCCTCCTTTAACCCTCCATGATATTACAAGCAACCTACCAGCAGTGCTAAAGCAAAATTATCCAAAATGTACGCTGCAAATATGTCCAACATCACAAATTGTACATTTCTGTCAAACGCTGGCTGAGGTAAGCTCATGGTAGGCGTCAACGAAAAAATTTCTAGCAAATTAAGAAACGACACAGACAAAGCGTTGCCTCGCTCCTTGTAGCCACGTTTTAGAATCTCGAGGACCAATGGAAAGTACTTAGTAAATAAAAGAATACATTTGTATTTCATTTGGATCATTTTATCATCGACGAAAATAAAATTGTGGAATGTTGAAATGCTTTTAAACAGCTTCGGTCTGCTTTCGGGCAAGACCAAAGGCGCTGACGATAGCTCCCAGTTCGATGAGGCAGAGTAAGATCACAAAGATGGCAACAGCCCAGGTGTAGCTTTCGAGGACATCGTGGAGAGCCTGAGCACAGCCCTATTCAAGGAGCATACAACATGTGTTGATCCATTGAAATAATCTGGGCATTTTACTACCATGATGTTAGGTGCATCAAAATGCCACAACTACTTTACATTACAGGAAATATCAGTCTTGAATCGGCCAATAAACAGTTCTAACCCAGTTAGTCGAGAGCATGGCAATCGACCACAATCACAGACGTTCATTAACATTCAGGCACACAAATATTACACCTATCTTCAAAATCAAATTCGGGCAAGCAATGTTTTTGATTACGCTCAATTTGATTTGTGACCTATCGATTTGTGCAATCGATACCTGAATCAGTCTCGGCACACTCATCTTGCGTACTACATGCTGGCATATATTCCAATGAATAAAAAAGATTTTATGAAACAGCGTGAAACGCAGTCACCAGCACGGAGAAATGTCGCACGAGGTGTAGCGTGAATACGCGGAGTAAGCACTCACCACTGGATGTGGGTCGCTGCATGATGCTTTGCCATCTGGACAACAACTGGCCGGAGGTTTTCGCCAATCACTTGGTCCGACTCCACCGCAACATTTCATCTGAAATTTGTGTCATACTTTTCAACATATCTAGCTTACCTCTTGCTGCATCTTGTCCATGACGTTTTCAAATCCATCAGGTCCTGACGCTTCCAGGCTCCTGATTTCCTCCTGAATAGCTGTACCGACGATGCTAACAAACTGAACACCAGGTCAACCACTCACATATTCCACGACTCACCTTCGTC